TTACGATGCTGTGGTCTGCCGCATTCATCGCAGTTGGGCACCCATCAAGTTCTGAGGTTACAGAACAATCTCTTTGCATCTGTGACCATAAACGACCCAATACATTCCAAATGTTGGACTCCTCCAAACGCGCCTCCTCCGTCTAAATGCATATAGAGTGTTGTGTTGAGTAGTGGAGCGAGGCCCAATAGCGAACGCTGCCGAAGCGAGGCCCAATAGGACCCCTGCCGAAGTTGTTTGCAACCCCCAATCAACAGGTGCCTCGCTCTCTTACCAAAGGGCCAAGGACCCCACCGATGCTAAAGATGCACGAATCTACCGAAAGGGGAAAAAAAACGATGCATGCACGAATCTACCGGTACTACCGGTACTACCGGCAGTCGCCATAAAGACTCCCAACGCTCGTGCTAGCTTGGTAGGTCCCAAAATCCGATGCCTGGTTGATAGCGATGGTTTTTGATATCGAATAGCAGGCGATGGTCTTTGATATCGAATGGCAAACGTGCATCTGATGTGCTTTTAGACATTTGCCCCTGGCTCTACGCACTGAGACATTTTCGAATGCCTTCTGGTCGCAATCACAGTCATGTACGTCCAACGGGTGCCGTAGTTGCGGTCAGATACGTTGTTAGCTGGCGCCTTCAAACATTCGTCCATCCACCCATTCACGCGGCGACAAGCCTATCGGCTCTCTATCTACTATCTATCCAGTGATCGACCTAAGCGTGAGCGGGGCGGGCGCGGGGGCGGGACCCCCCCTCTCTCCCCCCTCTCCCCTCCCTCTCCCCTGACGTGTATCGCAATACGGCGAAATTCGAATATCTTCGGAGTTCGTCTGCACACGCACCCGCGCTGTGGGCTTTCGTCCGTCCAATTCTGAAAGCTCGATCTTGCGCGCGTTTGCCCGTTAGGGAGAGGGAGAGGGAAGGGGGAGGCGTGGGCGGGGTGGCAGTCAAATTTCATGCCGTTTGTGGCAATCCTTTCCTGCCCCTGGCGCGCTCCTCGAGAGCTACCCCCTCTCCTACCTCTCCCAACTCTCCCCGCGCTCGACCTACCGCCCCTACAGCTAACCACTGGTTCTCCGATCCCGGGGCTAGGTCCCACTTGCACGAATTAAGAGATAGTGACCGTAGATAGCAAAGATCAACGGCGGAAATCTCCTAATTTGCGCAAGTGGGACCTTGCCCGCGATTGCTGTGCCATCTTTGTTAGGGATGTCGCAGCAGCGCGGGGGCGGGAAACGGTCTCGCTCTTTCTCAGGGAATGCCGAGGCTGAGCGAAAACAGGGATTCACCTCCTCCTCACCTCCTCCTCTCCTCTCCTCTCCTCTCCTATCCTCTCGTCAACTTCCAGCCCTCATGGCCGCCGTACGGAGGCCTTAGCTATAGTCAGGGCTAAATTTGTGACGCCACTACAAGTAACCACTGGTTCTCGAATCCGATTGCTGTGCCATCTTTCTTAGTGGGGCCAACTCGTCATTTCTTCATTGGCCGCCAATTTATGATCTCAGCCTTCTGTCCAGCTCTTCGTCGATCATACGATCCCGTTTCTCGTTCGCGCCCATCTTGCCGTGGAATTCCAGTTCGTAAGCGTCGTGATCACCGTCGTCTTCATCCTCCTCTTTTTTCTCCTACTCTGTTTTCTCCCACTATGCCATTTTCTCCTCTTCCTCGCTTTTCCGAAGGAGCTACCATCACCCCGTACTGCGTCTTATTTGCCGCCGCCTGAAGTCATCCATCGCTCTCTCTTTGTCAAGCCAATCTTATCGAAGGCCGGAAGGAGCAAATATACTTTTCGGGGGGCAGGGCTGCTAGGAATCTCGCCATCGCCAAGATCATTGCTCCCTTCTCTCCCCTCCCTTCTCTCCCACCTCCTTTCTCTCCCACCTCCTTTCTCTCCCACTCGTGAAGTTGTCTGCCGCTCTCTCTTTTCTTCAGCCCAATCACGTCCCCTCTCTCTCAAATTGTCTTCTCGTATCCGATCATCTTTGACTTCCTAGCCCTTGGGTTAACCCTCCCACGATTTGGTCGATCCTAGCCTGATGTTGCACTCGATTGCCGCCGCTCCCGGCCGATTCACTGAAGAGTGTAATCAGCCCTGTATGTGCTTCTCTATGAGCACCACGGGTGCCTGCAGGGTTGAGGTACCGGCTTAGCGACCCACATTTGGTTTCCATTTGGGAGAACGACTACCGGCTCTTCTATTCTATCTGCGTATCTATATTCTACCTATGTGTATATTTTGTCTTTTATTTTACCTGCGTATCTATATTCTACCTATATGTATTTATCATCGAGCCCTCTTCTCTCATCTTTACCCAAGTTGCCTTTCTCCTGTCATGACCGTAGGTGAATCTATGAATTGATCTGTAATAACTTCCTACCTGCCCGCGCGGCCGGTTGCCTGTGGCGATTGGCTATCGTTGGGTCGGCTAACCCACCGCTTACAGTGAAGGCGGAAGCACGCACGGGACGCGGCGGTCACATTATTGCTGTTTGGCGGCGGCGTTAATCTGTAAGGAGTGTACTGTATACGCTATGTACGTTTCAATCTGTAAGGAGTGTACGGTAAGCTATGTAAGGAGTGTACGATCAGCTATGTGTCTGGTCGCGAGGAGCCAAGCCAGTCCCTCATCGATCTAAGAGAGAGTTTCCTTTCGATATCCAGACTCGATCGTCTCAAGTGCGGAGCTGTCTTCGCTGGCAATCTTGCATGTTTGTTGTATATGTTTTCTCGCTTTTTTTGTTGTCGCCTCCAATTTGTCTCTTTTGCTCTTCCCTGCTTTTTTCTGCCCTTCGTTCTCCACGCCTTCGCGGCGGGAGTCGATCTCCTCCGCTCCGCCTGTCTCTCTCTCCGCAGTTATAGGAGAACTTTGTCTTATCTGAGGATTCGGATCGGGCCGTAAGTAACTCTCTCCTCCTTTTTCTACGGACGGTGGAGATGCAAGAACGGGGGAGCAGAGGCGGCGCACTGGTGGTGGTGGTGGATATGGCGGTCACTAGATTGCTAGTGATGATGATGATCCATTGGGGGCTTGCCGTTGGGCAGCGGCAACCGGGTGTCTGCCCGTACACGACGAGCTTCGGGTGCTTGAATGGGGGATGGTGTGAAATGATCGTTCAGGGCGAGAATTACACGTGCCACTGCTCGGACCAGTTTTATGGCGACAAATGTGAACTCAAAGGAGTGCCTTGCGGTAACAAGTACTGTCTTAATGGGGGCACGTGCGTCCAGGAGACGACTCTGTGCGATTGTGGATCAGAATGGAACGGCGACGAAACGTGCTCCGTCCGCGTGCGGGGAGGTACGCTCACTTTTTGGCGCTCGATCTTAACCCTTACCGTCTTCTACACCTCCGTTTTGTCAGTCAATTCTGCTATCGCTGACGTCAACATCTTGTTCAGGAAAGGAAACAGAAAAGGAATATGAAGAAAAAAAGCCTCTGCTTGCGGTCTGGATTGCGAGTTAAAGTCATGTCTCCAAAAGTCCCTTCGAGGATGCCATCTTTAGGGCAAGGAAGGGGAGGTCCGCTCTCTGTGTGTTTGTATGTGTTTGTGTGTGTGTGTGTGTGTGTGTGTGTGTGTGTGAGAGAGAGAGAGAGAGAGAGAGAGAGGGGGGGGGGGAGAGGAGGAGGGGGGGGGGGGTGGAGAAAGGGGCATGAGAGAGAGAGAGAGAGAGAGAGAGAGAGAGAGAGAGAGAGAGAGAGAGAGAGAGAGAGAGAGAGAGAGGGCGTGGGAATGGAGGCAATGATCAATTCTGCCCTGTATGATTCAGATCTGCGTGCGTGATGTATCTGTCTGTTATGGCAACTTGCATTCACCCTACCATACCCCACTAAAGCACCGTTATAGGGTAGCACTGCTTGGGCGGACTTCCTGTAGATTGCGGTAAAGGTGCCCATACATGTACCTCACAATCTGTACACTCGTCTGATTATGAGATGCATTCTACTTCCTGACATCCTTCTTGTTTCGGGCCGTCAAGGGATTCTTCTGCGGCGGGGTAGAAAGAAGTTCAGGGTAGAGATGATAGTAGTAATAACGCTTGGCTCGGGACTGCGAAGGAAGTCCTAGATGAGAAGATGAACATCCTGCGAAGGAAGTCCTAGATGAGAAGATGAACATCAACATAGCCTTGAGAACCGAAAAACAAAAAAATGGAAGTGAGAGTTCATGTGTGCGTGAGGGCGAAAATGAGGCGAAGTGGAGGAGAATAGTACAGTGAGTGCAATGACAAGTTCAGTTAGCTTTGAGGAGGAAAAAATGGTAAATGGAATCAGGAAACACTATGAGCGGAAGGATTTTTTTTTTTTTTTTTTTTTTTTGATTGAGGGTACGTCAAGCGAGGTTGAAGGGGTGCTTAGGAGTAGTAGCATGTACGTAGTGTATGGTGAAATTGAGAGAAGAATCTAGCTTTTTTTTTTTTTTTTTTTTTTAAGTGTGATCGTTCTTTCTGCTTCGGGCTGTTCTGGTCTTTTGCGGTGGTTGTTGCTCACCTCGGTGAACGCTCCCTCATCGTATGCTAATCTCCCCCCTCCCCCCCCTTCCTCCCTCCCACTTTTCCATCCATTTGTCATTGCCGAATTAACTTCGTCGTACAAAGATGTCGAGGGGAGATTCAGTGTACATTGAAGCTAAGGCGTCAAGTTGAGGTAAAGAAGTCTTGGTAGTGTGCGCAGTTCTCCAAACCGCCACATTTTGGATGTGGATTTTTGAAATGCTTGCCCTTTTTTCCTTCATCTAAAGGGCAACGACCTTGAGATATGACCGTTAAACTGACCGACCTTAGGTAGTTCGGAATTATCTTATTTCATTCATATAGTTAAAAAATGAATTGATATTTTTTTGGTTTCTTTTTTTTTTTTTTTTTTCGCGCTTTTGCGCTCTTATATCTATGTGACGATATATATTGTCACTCTTTGAACCGGAGCGCAAAAGCGAAGACAAGAAGAAAGGAAGAGAAAAGAGAAAGGAAAAGAAGAGGCAAGTATATATGTATATAGTTCCATCTGGACTCGAACTCTGGTCTGCATTTCAACAGCAGTTCGGGGGTGTACCAACTGAGCTAGGCCCGTTGTTTGCGCGCATTTTTTTTCTCATCCCAGAATATGGCAGTTTGCCCAGAAACAACTAAACCAGAATGTTGGGACCCCCCCAAAAAAGTGGATGCCGTTGGTAAAGTAGTCCCTATTCAATGGATCGGACGAACGTATAGAACTGGCGACACAAAAACAGACGGCAAAGTATTTGGACGATTCCTCAATCCTGTTTACATAGGGAAGGACGTGAGATGGAACTCTCGATTAGCAGCAGCTGATAGATTCTCTAGAGAGATATGCTATTCTGTAAGATCGGGGTTTGCTCATTGCAGAATTTTGGGCACCGCCGCTGTGTTGTAAATGTATTGTAGATATAGACAAGCATTGTCGAAATTAACGATAGTATCGAAATTAACGATAGTATTTCTATAAATTCCAATTTATTGCTAGATAAATATAGACGAAATTCAGAGCTTGGGATAGAAATGAGTATGCAGTGGAGGAGTTAAGAATGAGAAATGGAATGATTTCAATGTGTCTTTGTTTTTTTATTTTTATCCTTCTTGTTGAGTGTAAAAAAAATGATAAAACACTGAAAGAAATAAGAATACACTAAAACAAAGAAGAAAGGAGACACTGTTTTCTGTCTTTCTGGTTTGTCTGTCTCTTTGCCTCTGTCCTTTCATTTTTTTTCTTTTCTTCGCTCATCTTATTTCTTCTTCTACTTCGTGTTTGCACTCTTAGTCAATAGTTCTGTGACCATATATATATGACGACATATATACCAGCGTGGCCCGGGACCACTTGCCCGGCCTGGCCGAATATATAATATATATACATATACGGGGTGGGGACAGCCGCCGCTCAACCTACATCCACGTGGGCGGCCTTGTACGCAAGAGGTTCTGAACAGGGGGAAGGAAGAAGATAAAAAACTGAATTCATTTTTTCTTTTTTTTCTTTCTTTTCTCCTTTTTGTTCGCATTTGCGCTCTGATACTCTTGTGACAATATATATATACATATAACTCTCCTTGGGTATCCATGTGAACATCCACATCATCCTCACCGTAGCTGTCCTATCTGCCGAGGTGGGAACAGTTAAAGAAAAAACGAAAAAACGAGAAAAAAAGAAAAAAAGAGAAAAAAAGAAAATAAGAAAATGAGGAAAAAGAAAAAATATGTTGATCTGTGGGATGTGTTATTTGCTTTGTGACAAATGGATTATCTGTGGGATGTGTCATTTGCTTTGTTTCCCTGTCAGGAGGTTTCCTCCTTTTCTTTACCTCTTTGCCTTTTGGTTGCGTACAAGTGGGTCCTTGTGACACACGGGGATGGGGGCAGCCAGCGCTCAACCTGTCATCCACGTGGCTGGCCTTGTACGTAAGAGGTGATGAACAGGTGGGGCTTTCCTTCTTTTCCTTTCCATCTTTTCCTTTCCTTGTTTTGCTTTTTTCCGCTTTTGCGCTCCGATTGACAGTGTGACAATATATGTATATTATAATATATAATAAATAAAAAAAATTATTTTTTTAAAATTTAGTAACGAATTTCGATCAAATTCGATGTGAGGTGAAATTTGTTCAGAAAATAGGGCACAACCATGCATAAAATTCGGAGGATGCTGTCGCCAACTCTGATGAGATGGCTCTCTCTCTTTTCACTTTTTTTTTTTTTTTTGGTTATTCCGAGGATGTCGTTTGAAGCACATCGAGCGATGCCAGATTCCGTGGAAATCAATGTTCCTTATTGNGGGGGGGGGGGGGGGGGGGGGGGAGTATGATTGACCGTGAGGTCGGAAATTGCCCATTGGTGTCTACTAAAGTGGGACAGACTCGAAGCTGGGGCAACTGCTGGTGACCGGGCTTTTGTAGCCGTAGGTGGTTCTTAGGATGCGCAAATAACTCAGCTGCTGGATGCGCACGTCAGCAGGCGATGAGCTCTCAAAACTTGGGCTGAGGAGAATAGGGTGTAGCTGTAGTTGGGCCTTAGGACGCGCTGTGGTGTACAGTGGGCAGGGGATGAAATCGAAGGAGGAGCATGCGCACTGCGAAGTCGTACATGTGAACAGTCTGTAATTATGGGTGAAAAATCGCGCAATTGTAGTCTTGAGTGTCAACTCCGTGTCCTCCACCACTTGCCACTACCAGACCAGGATTACTCACAGACTCGTCACATCACCTCTACTCCTCACTTTTCCACAGCATCTCATAACACCTCATAGACAAAGACAACTACTCGGCAAAGCGAGGAGTCAGGCAGAACCGACCCAATCCCAAACCACCAAGCCCCGGAATCAGCTCGGGTCACAGGACGGCGCTACACGTCCCGGCAAATCGCGCAATTGTAAGGCGAACACCTATTCGAATCGTTTTCCCCACTAAATACTCTATAATAAATTATTTCGAATCGTTCTAAAAAATAAATTTCTAATCGTTTTTAAACAGCAGGATTTTCAAAATCGTCGGTAGTTACGTGCTTAATTCGTTCTGCTAGGGAAAAGGGGGGAAAAAAAACCGTTCTTCTGGGGGCATTCGATGCTCGGCATCAGCTGAAAGTAGTTGATCGCGGGTTCGAATCCTATCGAAGAATGTTTCTCGACCCGTTTTTTGACGTGGATGGCATGCAAGCTATATTCAATGCTATCGACACGCGGCTCAGTTCCCGGTCAGCATGCAGACTAGCATGTGATTAGCCTGCCCAAAAGCATTTTACTACTGAATGAAGGATCCGAGAGTCTTTTGCTCGTTCACTCTGGCTTGATTCTTCTCTCTCTCTCTCTCTCGGCTTACGGTTCCATTTTTAACTGTCTCCAGATTACTGACTCAAATCCGATTCTAACGAGAGTTCGAACTCCATCGAATGGTTTATAATTGCAGGTTTCTGTCCCGTTTTATACGAGTAGCAGATGAGCATTAGAGAAAATACAGTAATTCGGCGCTGTAACGAAATCCGTTCCCAAGCGGTGCGATACGGTACAAAGGTCTTAAGAACCCTCGCTCCACCACTCACCACATGCAAAAAAGATGCAAAAAAGATATTATGGCAGTGTATCTTTCCATGTTGTAGTGGAAGATTCGTTCTCATTTTGCACATTTGGTGAGTGGTTGATCAGAGCCCGTAACTCTGCTAGTTGTTTCAGGCACGCGGATGTGCGTGCGTGCTTGTTGATATGATATATCGTTTGTCTAACAAAGGATCCGTATAACCATTACTGTCGGAATTTCACTGGAGTCCTTCCGAATGTCACTGAAGTTGGGCTATCGTCCTTTTCGGGACATTCCGTCCAAAGTGGAACGATACCAGCGGGCCTAGCTGTCAGTTTGTACACCTGTGAACTGCTGAAATACAGACCTTCGTTCGAATCCAGATCGAACTACATGAGCTGAAGTCCTGAATTACCTTTCAAATTGGAACGATTCCAGCCCGGCCTATACCTTCTTTCCCCGAATAGAACGCACAGCCGTTGTTTCTGCATCTGGTACTGAAATGTGACCCAAATGCAGCACAGCCATAATGACCGTACGTTCGTTCGATTCGGGGAAAGACGGGTAGCTCTGTTGGTACACCTATAAACTGTTGAAATACAGACCTGAGTTCGATTCCACAGACCGAGCCAGATGATCTGGATGGATTCCTGAATTACCTGGTGGTGCTGCAGGTCACCTTCAGGACGATGTCTCAAGTCCGTCGCCTTGTGGGATGCAGACGCGAAGCGTCTGCTCTTCGAGCCTTGTTATACTCACGGATAGTTATAAGAAAAAAAAAAGAAAAAAAAATAGAAAAAAAAGAGGGTGAGGAAAGAGAAACAAGAAAGAAAAGAAAGGGAAAGGAAAAAAAAAAATGAAACGATACAGAGGAATAAATTGCTGCAAGATACACTCAGCCAAAGGACAAGTGCTACCGGTAGTATGCCTTTAGATTGACGACCATTCTTTCGCTACCGCGCTGTTTGTTTTTTTTTTTGCCGCACCTTTTTTCTGTGGAGCACCTCCACCTGTGATGTGAACAAACACTCCTTCAGTCTGTCTCAGTCAGGACAGAAAAAAAAAAGAAAGATTAGCATGGCCCCTGCGCATTCGAGGATGACACGCATATATCCGGAAATGCGTCTACATTCGTGGTAACTTGCGCGTATCACGCGGGAGATGCAGGCAAGTTCGATTCCCGACATCCGCCCCCCCCCAAAAAAGGAAAGCAAGCCAAAAAAAAAAAAAAAAAAAAAGGAAAAAAAGTTGAATGGGCTTATCCGAACCTCACCGGAGTTGGATGACCGTCCTTTGAGGACATACGTCCAAATTGGAACGAGAGCGAGAAAGAGGTTAGCATGGTCCCTGCACAAGGATGGGCCGCGCTCCACAACTCAACGACAGTGCAAAATGAGAATGAATCTTCCGCTAGAACATCGAATGATTCAACGCCAATTTGTTTTTGTCTTTTATACATGTAGCGAGTAGTGGAACGAGGCCCGCTGACAAACACAAATTGAGAAATGGTCCAATTTTATTGTTAAGTATCCCTGCCTGTCACGCAGGAGACCGGGGTTCGATCCCGGCCAACCACCACCCCCTCCCCCCCGCCCCCCCCCAAAAAAAACACACACACAAAAAAAAAAATTGGCTGGATCGCCTTATCCGAAGCATCGCCGAAGTTGGTGGAAAGTTGGTGGATGCCTTAATAGGAAATCTTACCGAAGATGGATAACCGTTTATAATCGGGGCCGGACGTTCTATAAATAGTTACCGTTGTAAATCTGTTGTGGACGCGGACTTTCTTCAGCTATGAAGAACGGTTCATACACTAGAGTGAAGGTTGTAAATCGTCCTTCGGGACATCCGTTCAAATTGGAACGATACAGATAAGGGTAATTAGCAAATTGCCCCTGCGCAAGGATGGCATGCATAAATCGAGAAATGGTCCAAAAAAGAAAAAAGAAAAAAGAAAAAAGAAGAGGTTGTAAATCAGTTAGTTGTGGGAGAGTTCATGGGAAACGAAATTGCAAATTGTGTGACGTTTGGCGTTGAAAATGATGGGGTGGTGGGGGGTAATGTAAGGCGAGCAGCTAATCGGTGATGGGTGATAGGGGTGCAATTGATTATACTAGTAGGTTTATGTTTTTGTTTTTGTCTTCCCCTGACTAGAAATAGGCCCCGATTCACAACATTGTATGTGTATCTCGACAGTTTGGCGAACCAGATACATTCGGACTGATCCAAAATTTTGAATGTATTTGGATGGATCATAGTGCCAGACAACAGGCAGATACGTTTACGATGTTGAGTAGTGGAGCGAGGCCCATACTTGGGGGGCATCAAGGGGGAGGTAGGTGTTGCCATCGTCCTCGTCGTCTGGAGACAGGTCCCACTAGCGAAGAGGAGTCGTTAAGCTCCTGAGTCTGGACGTGTTTAAAGCAGAGATTCAGAAAAGCAGTTCAATCTCGATTCCCTCCACCTTTCCACAACCACGTCCAGATTCAGGCGGTTCAATCCCAATCCTTTATGCTAATGGGACCTCGCCCGTGGGGAGGCTGCTGCCATCATCATACCTGCCCTCCGGAGGATATTGGCACCGTACTACCGGTAGCCATGAGAGTGAATGGTGCACTTACTGCTGCAAACACGTGGTGAGTTTATAGTCCTCCTTGACGCAATTCTTGTTGGGGCTAGAGGCGGAAGGCTCTCGCCGCACGGCACACGAAACGAAAACGAACCGAGTGCATCTGCCCACGAAAGGTGGCAAAATACACTCGTTGGTATTTATAGCGAACCGATGGACCGGGCCGTTTTCTGCAGCAAGATGCATTCGTTTCGTTTGTCGTTTCGTGTGCCGTGCGGCGACGCCCGAAGTGGCACCACCGCACTACCGGGGTAGTACTGACGGTGCTAAATCACGGCGAAGCGGCCGTCGGATTCCAAAATGCGTAGCCGGAATAAGGGTCAGATCCCACTACCCTGGATTATTCCTTTTTCACCCTCGATTACGAAGATCAACGGTCAGAAATGAACAATAGGGGCTAGTGGGATCTGGCCCTAAGAGAGCTTTGGGACGGTGGGCCTCCCCACCAGTGCACACGAAACGAAAAAAAAGGAAACTAGTGAATCTTCCCCACAGAAAAGGGAATGATTCGTCCGCGTCTGCTATAAGTAGTAACAAAAATGTAATTTCCCACTCCTGTGGGCAGATGCACTCGTTTTTTTTTTTTTCGTTCGTTTCCGTGCGATTTCAGTTGGACCATCCGGGAATCAGGACAGTATCAGGATCCAAGGATCCAACGGCGGTCAGGACAGTATCAGGATCCAAGGATCCAACGGCGGTCGCGGTCAATTGACGAAGTCTATGGCCGAAATGTGGCAGCTCTTGGCGGCTGAGTCTTTAGGGGAGTTGGGCCCAGATCCCACCAGCCCCTATTGTTCATTTCTGACCGTTGATCTTTGTAATCGAGGGTGAATAATCCAGGGTAGTGCGATCTGACCCTTGATCTGTTTTTACCGGCTGTCGAAAACAGCCTATATACCCTTTCAGATTTGGGGCCCACTCAGGAATCGCCCCATTCTGAAGGAAGAAGCGGGCGAGGAGGAAAAGTCTCGATCGATGATCGGCGTCTCCAGGGGGCCATCCTCTCACATCAATGATATGTTTAGGGTGTGTACCGTCGGCCTAAGAACTACCGTTCGGGGAAGTCTTTCCCCGAACACAAGGCACCATCATTTTGACTGCATCGGGACGGAAAGATAGTCTGTATACATTCATTATCAGGGTGCGTTATGTTCGGGGGAAGGCGGTAGCTACCAGGTCCTCTCCTGGCACCTGAAAAAGAACGAAAAACCAACTGGACAGCTCCGTCGGTACACGACCGAACTGTTGAATTCCATACCTGCGTTCGAACTGAAACTCCTCTCGACGCAGATGAGTAAAATATCACAATTCTGAATTACTAAGGCCGTTGCCCTTTTGAAAAAAGGAAGAAAAGGAAGTAAGGAATAAAAAAAGAGAAGGGGAAAAAAAAGGGAAAAAAGAAACGAAAGAAAAAAAAGAAAGAAAAGAAAAGGAGGGTCTACTGTGGTTTGTTCTCTCTTTTTCCGTGTATTGTTAGGCCTTGCTTGCTTTGGAGTCTGTCTTCATCCTTGCGCTGGAGTTTAGCAGTTTTCCACCACCTCACCTCTAGAGGTGTAGGCGATTTTTTCCCCCCCCTTATTTTGTTTTTTTCCACTGAATCTTGTTTTTTTTCACCGAATCTTGTTTTCTCCCCCCGAGTCCTTTTTTTTCCACCGAATCTGTGAGCTCACAGAAGAGAATTGCAGGCATTCGTGCACCACGACTGCCGTGTGACCGCACAAGGGGCAATTTTGCAAGTGGCAGGGTGTCCAGGCATTGTGTTTTCCAATTTGCTACCCCTGTGTGACTGCACAACACAGAGAACTACTGTCTTCATCAGAATGGAATGCCTGGTCATTATATCTGTATTTGGTGCAAGTTTCAGTCCAGATATAATGATCGGGGGCACTCTATTCGGGTGAAGACGGTAGCGAACTGGGAGTAGCAAACGTGGCAGGCCAATTGTGCTGTTTTGCTGTTTTGCTACCTGTGTGTGAGTATGCCCTGACTCCTAATATTTGAGTAGATAGGGACGAAGCGGTCTCTGCCATGACATCGTCGTAACCCATCGATGATTCGCCTTGCAGGGTCATGATAGTATATATATCCTTCTTTTTTTTTGTTGATAATATATAGTATATATATCCTCTGTCTTCGTTTCCAACTTCTTCCTTTTTCGAAATGTTAATTTATAGCTGCTCAGTATTGTTCTGAGTTGAAGAAACAGAGAAGATACATCCGTTAAAATTGGAACGATACAGAGAAGATTAGCATGGCCCCTGCTTAGTATTGTTCTGACTTGAAGGAAAAAAAAACAGACAGAAGAACAGTGGTGATGTCTGCCAACCTCTACTTGGCTTTGTCCCTTTTCGTTTTTGTTTTTGTTTTGCTCTTTTCCATTGGCATGTACATTTCCTTCCCTGATGTCCACGTTCAATTGCTCGTCTTCTGCAGAAGGAAATTTGGGGGAGCTTCAGCAGACCATCACTATTGGAAGAAATGGCCCCAGGGTGAGTGCCACGTTTTTCTCTCTTCTTCTTGTGTCTTTATTCGCACCTATTTCCCTTCCCTTCCCCTATCAGGGCATGCATACTCACAGCGGGAGTTTTTTGACGCAGCTTTGGACGTGATTGCTGCCAGATGCATTCAAGTCCACCCGTCATGTTGGTCAGATACGTTGAGCAAAGTGCTAGTGCGAGCATGCGCCCTCTCTCTCCCTCAACCGTTTTTTAATCATCCATTCACTTGTATAATGCAGCATGACATGGCTGTGACATGGCTGCAAGATGTAACGAGTGGATGCGTTTATTATTCAAATTTTGAGGCTCTGTATGTTCTGGTGGTTATACGATTCATTTGTGTGTTTGCGTGACTCTGTATGTTCTGGTTTTTATATGATTCATTCATGTGTTCGCCTGACCGTACCTGCTTAGAATGGTGTGTCATATACACGGCCATGCAAACGCACAAACGAATTATAGCTTTGTCTTTAGTTTCACGTGTCCGTCGTTGTCATGTTTACTGAATCAAAATGCGTCTGCCGAGTTAAGCGAGCATAAGCAATCGGGTAGGAATCAGGCCGCTTCATCTAGTGCGAGCGTTAAAAACATGGAATTTTGCTGCTGACTGACATGTAGTTTTGTTTGTCTTTAATTGAAGCCCAGATCCGTGGGCTCGGGCTGATAAAAATGAAATCGTATGTGTCTCGTGCATCTAGCATTGATGAACATAGAAATTATTACGGAAGCACGACTGACACATTTCATAGATGTCAATAACGATGAGCACACCCAGGCCATGTGAGCGAGTCGTACATATACAGAACTGGTAGCAAACAGTGCACGAGTTCGAATCCGGGTGTGGAATCAGACAAAGACAACGAGGCTAGGGGCGACCCTGTCATTTAAAAAACAATGATGATGAGCTTCGTCGGCAAACTGAAAAGTCTTTTTGAGCACTTCCGGCTTAACCGGAATACAATGTACGGTCATTATAACTGTATTTGTAGCAACTTTGAGTCTAGATGCAGCAGGCAAACTGAAAGTCTTTTTGAGCACTACCGGCTTAACCTGGAACAATGTACGGTCATTATAGCTGTATTTGTGGCAACTTTGAGTCTAGATACGGCAATCAAAATGACGGTATGCTGTATTCGGGTGAAGACGGTAGATCTGGGCAGGACATGCCTTTGGAGTGCGGCGCTCTGTGGTGGCCCGCACTCGTTTTATACACAGCTCACTAAATGTCCGTGATATCATTAGAGTGTGATTGTGCCAAAGGAATTTGTTTTCCCCCCGATGCATTAGAGTGTGTTTCAACTCTACGGAAGTGTTAGTGACGACTGCGGAGTGACAACCACACACGTGTATGGCTGAATGGTACATGCATGTAGCTGTTGGTAAACAGGCCATGAGTTCGAATCCTGATGGAATTAGTTGAAGAAGAAAGGATGCTTAGGTGAACAAAAACAGGAATGACAATTACGAGAGTGATTATGACCATGGTAAAGTTGGTAATGATGAGGATGAGATGGCAACCAAAAAAATAAAAAAAAAAGAGTGTTGGATGATGGTGATTAGAAGGATGAGACGAATGATGATGATGATGATGATGATAGTTTCCATGGCACAGTGAAACACAGTTAGGAATACGTTGCTGCTAATGTCTCCGTCACAACAACAGAAAAAAAGACAAATGACAGTCAGTCTGCAACAATGGGAGGTGTAGGGAATGGCAGTCACACAGTTCTTTGGACCCTGCCACTGGGTTGTCCCGACCCCAGTGATTACGAGTATCAAAGTTATGAAGGTAGTGGCAGCGACAGCGGCAGGAACAGGGTTGATAGCAGTGGTTATAATCATTATGTTGGTAATGGCGATGAGGATGGTGCTGAGGCTCGGTGATTAGGTTGATGGTGAATGAAGACTATGATGCCGGTGATGATGATGCCGGTGATGATGATGCCGGTGATGATGATGATGATGATGATGAATATGATGATGATGATCACAGCGTCATGGGCACCACTTTCAATGGGGATGACGATGATGATAATGATAATGATGAAGATCATGTTGAAGTGCAGGTCGTACGAGCAATAAGTTGAATTCTAAATGATCTGGGGAGGAAGAAGGATGGGAACCAGGTGGACTTTTGTGACTGAGTTTGAGGGAAGAGGGTACGGCAAGCTGTTTCTCTTCCCTTTTGTATGCTTTAGGGGAAGGGAGGGTTGGATGGGCATGAGACGTTTTTGAAAAAGGTGGGGTGTTGGGATGTTGTTTGCTTAGCAAGTTTATTTAGTTCGTTCCTAATCATTATGCTTCTTATTCCAACTCGTCGGTAGAACAGAAAAAAAAAAAAAGCTCATGCGAGACTTGTTTTGCCAGATCTATGATCGAGTGAAATACCACTTTTGCAGATGCTGGGAGAGAAGTCGGTTCTCACATTTCTTTGAACAGTGTTTACTTTCTGCCCCGTAAATGTGCCTGGTGTGTTGCCCATGTCTTTTTTACAGCTGTTTTTTTTCTTCTTTCCCTTTTTTTTTTTTTTTCTTTCCAATGGACCATGGATCAGATATTAAACTGATCAGAACAAATACTACACTTGATTTATTTATTTTTTTATTTTTTTTATTTTTTTTAATTATTGTGGCCCGATGGACCACGGATCAGATAATAAACTGAGCAGAACAAGTACTTGGCTATGTGTCCGTCTCTCACAGGATTCTCATTGTTTTTTTTTTGTTTTTTTTTTTTTAAGTAGTTTTGAACTTTGAACGCTAATCGATTGCAATCTTCTCCTTGTCTCCGCTTTGCTTGCAGTGGTACACTGTTGTGTTTGGTGTGTTGGGAGCGCTGATTGTCGTGGCGCTTTCGGTGGCCACCGGTGTGCTGCTTTGGCGAAAGAACGAGATGGAGAAGTCTATGATGTTCCGGGAGATGAAACCGAACGAAGTGCAGATGCAGCCTACCTCCGGACTGGCACCCCTGGACAATGAATCTCTCATTTCTAGGGGGCAAATAGTCAGCAACCCAGACGGATCAAGTCCTCGTGCCTCTGCTTCACATGTATGATGTAGGCATTTTGCCCATTTCTGGCAAGGTAGGGATAGTTTCCAGTTCATTTTCCAAGAAATGATGGGTCTGGGGGAGGCCAGGGGGGCGCCAAGGAGAGAGTGGATTGTGGTGCGGATCCAGCGAAAGATTCCGGGATCTCTCCGTTCTGTGTATGCCTCTACCTCTACCTGTTTTGCTCTGATAGGTGGAACCCTTCCCCCGGCCAAAGATTACGTCAGTCATTGTTCGACTACTGTCTCGCTTGTCGCACGGGGCGGCGGAGTGAATGCCCTTCGTGTATGCCCCAGGATGTCATTACCCTTGTTTGGTCCAGATTTGATTTTCGTTTTTCTTTCTTTTCTTTTTTTCGTTCATTTTCTTATTCATCGTTTGCTTAGTGTTTCTTTTTTGCCCTTTTTGTTTCCTTGGTTGTGCATCCTGGATATGCATGTCATCGAGAAGTTTGAAGTTTGCCAGCCAATGTGCGAGTTGCATCTGCCTTGCTGCGAGGATGGCCTCTCTGCCTTTTTCCTCTATTCGCTGTTGCTAGCGCAATGTTTTTGAGCTGCGGACGGCTGAGAATTATTAGTTATAAGTCTGTGTGGCCTTACGTTTCTCCTTTCGCTTTTCACTTTTTTCAAGTTTTTCGTCTCTAGCGATTTTACCCCTCCTCCTCATGCGTTCTCCATTCTGCCTTCCGGCAGGGTTCTTTGCCAGATGTATACGGAATTTGTCTTCTTCTGTGCAGTTCTATCCGGAAAAAATTTGCGTGCTTGGGCAGAGTGAGAAGCTAATGCTAAACGTAACCTGTCTTCTAAGCAGTTGTTCCTGAGATGAGGCGGGTTTAACGGGTGCTTGCTTCGCAGGAAGGCTTCCTAGCAGCAGCCCCTGAGGAAGGGGAAAGGCGATGGTCACACAGCTGGTCGCTTGCACGCGCACAAAAAGGCGCAAATCATCTTCCGATGGAGTTCGGCTACACTAAGATCGAAGCAACGCGTGCTATCATTGAGCCAAGCGATCAGCCAAGCGATCAGGCGCACAAAAAGGGCGAATCATCTTCCGATGGATCTTGAATTGTAGATTAGACGTCCAGTTGACCCTTTTAAGGTCAATTGGTCCTTGGAGTTTGGACGGTGCGGTTTGATCACAAGATGATCGGCAAACCAAATAAGTCACGAGAGCTTGTAAGTATGGAAAGGGGCGAGCAGGGGGAGGGCAGGGRGCGGGGGGGKGGAGAGAGRGGGGGGGGGGAGGTGAAATGATCTCCTGGTCATCTACTTGCCTTATCAGCCAGCACTCGTCTTGTTTTCCGTTCTCTTTTCCTTTGCTTTTCCGTCTTCTTTTTCCTTTTCTTTTGAGTTTCTTTTTTCTCCGATCTCCTTTTTTCCCCGTCTACTTTTGTGGCGAGCAATTATCTTTCTTTGATGGAGAAGGGATGTCATGTTCATATACATGGGGCTGGTCGTTGGGTCGAAACGGACACAACAGACTTGTGTGGCAGAGGGCTGCTGTAAGATTTTGGAGTTCGAAATGTTGTTAGAAGTTCAGCGCACAAGACCTACAGCCATTGGCTTTAATGTCCTGTTCTATGTCCTCAATCCGCATTTGATGACCACAATCATTTTGGAGTTAACTGAAGTGTGCATAAATCCTGAAAGCTGAACGCATGATTGAACCGTGTGTGTATAAGGCATATGCTAGTAGTGTACCTTCACACCTCTGAATCTTTCTTTCGGTGATAACTGGATGTTCATATTGATACTGAGTAACGTAAAAGGAGGCAGGCATAGTGATGGTAAACAAACGGTCTTTCTGCTATTCTTGATGAGCACAAAACGTAGTAGAACGGACTGGAGTAAATGCAAAATTTAAATCGTACTTCGGGTGCAACTCTCAAAACTGCATGCATACACATGTGTAGACAGATGTGTAGATACAGCCCTTGCGGTGGTATGATGAAGGTGAGCTAGCCTATGGCTTTTCCAATTGCCCGTTTTGAGCTCTTCTGTTTTAACTTGATATCGCCAGCATTGCGTTGAGGCGAATGCGGCTTACCCGGCCGAATTTTGACTGGACAAATCATTCTTCTTCTTCTTCTTTCTTCTTCTTCGTCTTCGTCTTCTTCTTCTTCTTCTTCTTCTTCTTCTTCTTCTTCTTCTTCTTCTGTCTTTTTCTTCTTCTTCTTCTTCTTCTTCTTCTTCTTCTTCTTCTTCTTCTTCTTCTTCTTCGTTTTCTTCTTCTTCTTCTTCTTCTTCTTCTTTTTCTTCTTTTTTCTTCTTCTTCTTCTTCTTCTTCTTCTTCTTCTTCTTCTTCTTCTTCTTCTTCTTCTTCTTCTTCTGTCTTTGTCTTGTTCTTTCTTTCTTCTTCTTCTTCTTCTTCTTCTTCGTCTTCGTCTTCGTCTTCTTCTTCGTCTTCTTCTTTTTCGTCTTCTTCTTCTTCGTCTTCTTCTTCTTCTTCTTCTTCTTCTTCTTCTTCTTCTTCTTCTACTGGTTTCTCCAAATCCTCCTCCTCTTCTTCTTCTGCTGCTGCGTCCTGCTTCTGCGTCTGCTTTTTCTGCTGCGTCTGCTTCTTATTCTGCTGCTTTGCTTTCTCGAAATCCTCCTCTTCTTCTTTTACTTCGTCCTCCTCCTCCTCCTCCTCCTCTTTCCTCCTCTTCTTCTTTTACTTCGTCCTCCTCCTCCTCCTCCTCTTTCCTCCTCTTCTTCTTCTTCTGCTGCCTCCTGCTTCTGTGTCTGCTTTTTCTGATGCTTCAGCTTCAGCTTCTGCTTCCACTGCTTCTTCTTCTTCTTCTTCTGTTTCCGCTGCTGCTTCTACTTCGGCGGATTTTTCTTCTTCTTCTGCTGCTGCTGCTCCTGCTCCCCCTCCTCTGCGACCACTGCTGCAAATGCACTCATGCAGTCTTAGCAGGGGCCACCTTTTCTCTCACGCTCCCATTTCGCAGAAAAAGCTGTTTCATGTGAACTTTGCCACACACAGTCGTGTTGCAAATACTGTAGCAATGTGAACTTGCGAAGAGTGATCACAGCGTCTTGGTAGCTGTCGCCTCTTCTGTGATGTTTCCGGTGTCTACTGAAATGCCTCCCCACGTCTGATTGCCTGTGTGTGGCAGCAGCTCGTCAATTGAAAAGAACTTTTGCCGGAGTAGATCTCTTTCATGTGAGCCCCTGCCCGCGTGGCAAGTTTTGCGGAGGGGGCCACAGCATGTCGAATCATGCTGTAAATATCTCAGGGGCCGTTTTGCACAGCGTGAACAAAATGGGAGCATGAGAGAAAAGGTGGCGCCTAAATATCTCTGTTCGAAGAAGGAAGCCAACTACCCTGTTGTCACTGTTAAAATCTACTGGAAAGCCCGTGTCCAAAATTTACGAGAATGCCCGTGTCCATGTGTATTTTCGCTGGGGCAAAAAGTCATTTCACAGTGGCAGATAAATAGCCTTTCCTCCATTCAGGAAATGGGGCCCGAATTTGGCCATGCCTTGTTGAGAAACAAAGCCAGATTGGCACTCCAGCTCCTTCGGTGATAGACGGATGCAGACACACATTGCGAAGACGAATGTTCTTTTTTTTTTGTTTGTTTGTTTGTTTGTTTGTTTGTTTATCCGTTAAAACTTAAAATTGGAACGATACAGAGAAGAAAGATTAGCATGGCCCCTGCGCTTTCAAGGATGACACGCATAAATCGAGAAATGGTCCAAATTAATTTTAAAAAAAAGGGTTTGTGCCGTAAAACGCCCTCTTATTCTACACCTCTCAAGTCACATTTAACAGAGTCGAACTAGAGTCAAGCTTAACAAAGTCTGTTCTGTAGGTCGTAGACTTTCTGTGTCTACATGTTTCTGGTCTTATTTTGCAGTGGGTTCAATATTTTTTTATTTTCATCATGTCCAGTATGCCATAAAGGGCTTGTTCTTTTAAACCAGCCTTTTATAAGGTTCACTGAACTCTTAATGGCACCCCCAGCTGCATACTTCTGGGATCACTGCGATCCAGACACCACACCAACTGCGGCGAAGCATTCATCATTCCCATCCCCACCCCAGGGTGGGTGGGGTGGGGTTTCTCCACATTCTTTTCTTGGCCAGGCAGCGAAGCTGACGAGCGGAAAAAGGGATCTGAACCCTTAACCTTAGCCTTGAGCAAGGCTATATTCTGCCATTAAGCTATCTTTGCCATCATTCCACTTTGTGTGGTGGGGGACCACCATTCAACTGGTAGGAGTGATGGCTGGTGTGTACAAAGGGCAGGGACGGAACTCCCACGCTTACGACAGTCTTCCCCCGAATACAACGTATGGTCATCATAGCTGAATTTGGTGTATTTTTCAGTCTAAATTCGGTCTATAATGACCGCACGTTGTATTCGGGGGAAGGCTGTAGGTTTTACCACTTAGCCATGTTCTTATTTTGATTTCGCCTTTCACTACGAAGCTACCACTACTCCTAAGCAGCCTATACAGGGGAGCCTGCAAGCATAGCTGCCTCTCACAATCACGTGAATGCATGCTGCTCTCTCTGCCCGGACGGTGGTCGTTAGGGAGTGGGGTGGGGCCATTGGTGCGGGCCCAGCCAACCCAACGACCGAGCATTTTGGCAGTAGCTTTGCCTCCCTTTTCTTCTTCAGGGTTAGCCTGATTAGTGGTCCATCATCGGAATATGGCAGCAGGTCAATTGCCTCCCAAGTAGCACCCCCCGAATTGCTATGTGGTCGTTAGGGAGTAGGGTGGGGCCATTGGTGCGGGCCCAGCCAACCCAACGACCGAGCATTTTGCCAGTAGCTTTGCCTCCCTTTTCTTCGTCAGGGTTAGCCTGATTAGTGGTCCACCATCAGAATATGGCAGCATGTCAATTCCCTCCCAAGTAGCACCCCCCAAATTGCGATGCCATCAATTTCAGGCGCGCAATCCGTTCAGACCTCCTGCCGATGCTTGGTGAGGTGCGTAGTCCCTTCTGCCTGAGCAGTTGGGACTAACGTCTGAGATGTTTATCAGCTCTTGTTTGACTACCGTCTTCATCCGAATCTGGTGCAACTTTGAGTCCAGATTCAACCATAACGACCATGGGTTCTCATTTGTGTGAAGGCAGTAGAGAGACATGGCTGAGAACTACCAATGGGATCATCGGGGCAGAAGTTTGTGGGCCACCAACTGACCTAGCTCAGTTGGTATGTACACTCATGAGCTGCTGAATTTTTACAGAGATCAGTTCAGTGAAACAACTCTGAAATTTGAATTGACCTGGAGCCAGTCGGTGTGTAGATGATATATATTATATGTGTATATATATATTATATATATATTATATATATATATATGAGTTGGTGAAACTCCGACGAAACAGTTTGTCACAGCCCCTCGTTTGTTGTCCTCTTCTCCCTCTCTGCCTACGGTTACCGGGCAGTTCTATTTGACRATATATATATATATATATGTATATGTATGTATATATATATATTAAAGGCCGAAATAGTTTGTTGGTCGTGAGCTGGTGGTCAAGTCCGGCAGGTTGCATGAACGGGAATGAGATGTCGGAATGCAATGAGGGGAACTCGTCGCCCTCTATTTTTTTTATTTTTTTATTTTTTATTATTATTTTTCCTATTGGTGGGGAGCTGCACCTGCTGGAAATCGGGCCCAGCGTCCCTGTACAATGATGTAATGTGTATCGGCTGGAAATCGGGTCCATGCAGTGATGTGTGAATATGTCCTACTGTGCATCCAATCCTCCCCCTCTAATGGGAGGTGTGTTCTGGTATGTTGTGCTGCTATCCCTTCTGTTCGCAAGACCGTTGCTGCCTCTGCCCTTTATTTAGCTCATTCTTTGGTAAACTGTCTGACACTGAAGCTGAAGTATCTCTGTCCCTTTCAAGTTATAGACCCGAACTCCTCAGCAATCACCAGATACCAACAAGGGCAAGGTGCATGGGGGTTCTTTGGGCCCCTGAGTACTCATTTGCTGTTTTAGGGAGGCTGTCAACTTATCACAGGTGAGGATAAGTTTCCCCCCCTCATACTACTACTATTTGTGGTGCCAGCATCCGACGTACGGATGGGTTTGGCGACCTACTACAAAAAATGTCTGGCACTCCAGATGGACATGAGGATCTTGTTTTTGGGGAAGTAAATGAAAAAAAAGAAAATGTTAGTAACAAGAAACAACACACTAAAAAAAAAAAAAAAAAAAAAAAAAAAAAAAAAAAAAAAAAAAAAAAAAAAAAAAAAAAAAAAAAAGGAAACAACACACTACTAATAGCCATCCCAAAGTAAATAAGTAGACTCGTCCAAGCTGGAGGCCCATGCACATAGAGCATAGTAGCATACTATAGTTTTCACCTCTTTGAAAATCAGATGTGGCACAGCTTTTGTGAACTGATGAGATCCACACTATACCTTAGTTTCATTCCCTCAAATGGTGAGCCTTTACATATTTTTCCCACACAAAGCACCATAGATAGCAACAGCTTAGGGTGTACAGTCAATAAACCCTTATAATAGGATTATCACACGGGTCTTTAGCAGCCAACATAATTCTGACATATTTTGCCCAGCCTAATCTTGCACCCCTTATTGTGGATCGTATGATTGCTTCCTAGCTGTTATGAGGTCGTGAGATTCGCACATCCCTTCCCATTCAAGGCAGGCATTCTGGGCAGTTGCTTGGACCCCATTTTGCCCAGTGCTTTGTTCACCGGTCGTATGGTCAATGGATGGTAAGATTAGGCTAGGGAACATATATAGGTGGTGGTTTCTTTTTCCTTTTCTAGATGTAGAAGGTAGGTTGGTGGTTGCTAAAGAGACGTAATTCTATATTAGGGGCTATTGAGGGATAGTGTTCCTTTAGTTGTCGCTTGCTGTGGTGCTTTCTTATAGGCTCGTAAA